CTTTGAGTCAGAGAGACAAGTTCAATCAGGACGAGACGCGATGCCATGGGTTGGCAACAGCTGATGACTCGGCGGAACACCTTCACTCGTGATCCATCAATGATTCACGATTCGGCTACATCGAGCGAGCGCGGAGAGTCGGACTAGATGAGGTGCGATCGTTGGCAGTGCCTGATGGATGCGTCAGCATTCATGCCACTTTGACTCATCAGGATCTCTATGACTGTCGTTGATCTTTACGTGGTGAGACCGTGAGGTGTCAAGATTCACGCTGACAGGCGCAAATTGACTCACTGACTGTGTGATGGAAAGTGCGAGTCGTGAGTGCTGCGAGGCAAGTGTATGGTAGTGAGTCTGAGTGCTTACCGGCGGTATATGCGGTGCAACCTCTGCACAGCAGCATCGACAACCGCGGCTGGCACCGACCTTCACGTCATCAGCTTTACGTGTCGGAGCCAACGACAGTCGTGAATATCATCATCTGCTGCTGCTGCTGCATCGCATTCGCAGTCGTGAGTCTTAGTCAAAAGTCAGGAGTCCGAGTCGTAAGTCGTGAGTCACGCAGTCGTATAGTCACGAGTCACGATCGAGAGTTTCGGCCGACTTGTGCCTTGGCCGATCTGCAAGCTCCGCCGCTAAGCGCGAGTCCCTCCCTATATTCGGAACCAGGTAACGCCGCACAACTTTATTCGGATCATACGGCTCTGAGAGCCGTACCAACGCGGCTGTTGCGCGTTGCGTTCCCCGGCCGGACGGAAACCACACGTACTCGTGACTAACCACACTTAACTCACGACTCCCTGACTAGTTAATTCATGCACATGACATGCATGAGCAATCAGCAAGTGCACAATCACAATTTGAATGTTGAAATGATTCGAACCATCACGACTCAAGACTCACAGATATATAAATAGAGCGAGCCTGTCCTCACGGACATCGAAGCCAAGAAGAACAAGCGGCAAGCGACCCGTTCACGCTCGCCAGCCTCACATTATTGGTCCTCAATCGATTCTTAGGAATCCACCCATCATGCCCGTCCCAGACGTCCGCTACAAGCCCATCTTGGTGCCCTCATTGCTATCAGTGAGAGCCCGAGATGATGCAACGACGACCTTTCGCGAAGATTATCGCGCGGCAAGTGGGGAGTGGCACGTCACTACGTACTCAGCATTCGAAGAGCTAGTCAACAGCTACGTGCGGGTCCTGATCGATGCAGGTCTACCCTTGCGCACAAGGAACACCACGCTATGCGAGCGCGATGGCAGTGTGTCTGTGCCTGTCGTAGCCACTCTGGCTGGAAGCACAGAGGCAGAGACGGCCGCTTACTTTGCCATCATCAAGATGGGCTGCACTGTGAGCAAGCGAGTCGCACCGTCGAGAAAGTGCAGAGTCTGCAAAACGCTGACTTCGCTTGCTGTGGCGCAGGTGTTTCCTCTTTCGCCTCGTGCTCCTCCAGATACTATTGCAGCGCTACTGCAGAAGCATAGAGGCGTGACACACTTGCTGTTTGCGCCGCCTTTCGCTTTGCTGGCAGGCAAAGTCTCCGAAGCGCTTCAAAGCAGCGTGGTTGCTGTCGCAGGCGAATCGATTATAAACGTCATGGCCTTACCTACTGCCGCAGCAACAGCCCAGTCGAGCGCGGATGTCGAGCATTTGCCTGCGTTTATGTACGACCTCGATGAGCTCCTCGAGCAGGAGTACGATCGAACAATTCTCCTATTGCATACCAGTGGAAGGTGAGTCATCCAGAGTGAGAGGCTCGTCCAGGTGCTGGCTAATACTCAATCCTCATCTCTTATCCGTGACCAAAAGCTCGGGACTCCCGAAAGTTGCCAAATATACCCACCGTAGTTTCATGGTTCAAGCAGGGTGGTACCGCGATCCGGCTTATGCCAGTACTCAAGCCGATCTTGAGGGCTCGAGGTTCTTCTCCGGAACGCCACTCTTCCACGTGAGAGAACCACGCGCACAGATACGCCATGCTGGGCTAAGCTCATTCAAGATTTCTTGCGCAGGCTATCGGCTGGATTATCGGACCGATCCTCGGTAAGGCTTGATGTGATCTCATCGGAAAGGCTTGTCTCTTATTTCCTCTCACTGCCTGCCTTGTGCATCGTTCTCAGCATTGACCATCGGTGCCATTTCCCTGGCACCCGCTCCTGGACCTCCTCCACCAGTCTCTACCCTGACGCATTTGCTCACAAGTGGCAGAGCGGATCGTGCTCTGATTGTCCCTTCTCAGCTGGACGAAATGAGTATTGATGCTGCCGCTACTGCGGCCTTGGCTAAGTGCAAGGCAATCTGGTATGGCGGGGCGCCGCTTGGACCACAAAGTCAAGAAACGCTCGCCAAGAATGGGGTCAAGCTGTGCAGCGCTTATGGTCTGACAGAAACAGTGAGCTGAAGCGAGCAAAGTGGTGTCAAGGCGATGCGACTAATTCAGAACCAAAATCTGATCCCAACAGGGCGCCGTCGCGGGCGCCCACGAGCTAGCGCCGGAATCGCAAAGAGATGCCGGAGGCACGTGGATCACCCTTCGTTCCGAGTTCGACTATATTTTCGAGCCTGCCCCACCGACGCAAGCTACACAATCGAAAGAGCTATTTGAGCTGGTTGTCAAGTCGACGGGTCGAGTTCCATTGCCGTTCGAGACCTCGGCGGGTGTTTGCAACACGGGAGATCTATGTGAACGACATCCCGACGCTCCAGATTCTGTCATCAGGCTAGACGGCAGGATCGGTGATTTGGTCATCCTTTCAAATGGCGAAAATGTGCCGACCCTGCCTTTCGAGTCGGCGGCTTGCAAGCACCCATCCGTACATACCGCCGTCATCTTTGGGCATGGCAAACCGTCAGCTGGGCTGTTGATTGAGACGACTGACGCCAGCAGATGGAGCGAGGCGGACCTCGTAGAGCTGATGAAGCTCGTAGACAGTGTCAATCGCGAGCAGCCTGCTTTTGCAACGATCTTTGTGAGCATCTGTAATTGTCGATCCGATCTGGATCTGCTGATTAAGATACTGAAAGCATGTATTCTTTCAGCCGTCAAGAATCCTGCTCGCGTCCCCTAGCAAACCACTACCAAAGACAGACAAGGGCACGGTGAAAAAGAAGCAAGCGTTGCAGCTGTACGCAGATGAGGTGGCTCAAGTTTACGAAAGAGACACCGGACCTCTAGTCGGACCGGGAGAAAGCGACATTACCTTGAAGACGAAGGGGGATGTTGAGAAGTTTGTCAAGAAGACCTTGGTTGGAGTTCTCGGTGTCGACGTCGCCGAATTGACCGAGTCTCGCGACCTCTTCGACCTTGGCTTGGACTCTCTGAGGTCATCGCTAATCCGTGGTGCAGTGCTTCGAGCCGTTCGCGACAATGTCCAAGGTTTGGCGAATGGTCGATCCACCGGAATCGAACAGCTAGAGCGGGCAATCCCTGCTAGCTTCGCCTTTGACAATGCTACTCCTCAAAAGCTTGTGGTAAGTTTTGAAGAGGGCTATTTCTCGCAACCATGCAAGCGCGATGATGACTAACCTTCGGACTCCCCGCGCTGCTTTCGAAAGCACGCCGTAGCTCGGCTGGTCGAAGGCGATGTCGCAACCGTGACCACGTCGTCTTTGGAGCAAGCGCACGACACATTGAGTCACTTCCGCAGAGACTTGGAGGCACGCTTGAAGCCCTTCACCGAGCTCAGTGAGAGATCACAAAGCAAGTGTACATCGATGGCGGCACTGGTCACTGGCACGACTGGTGGTCTGGGCTGTATACTTCTGGAGCAACTACTACAAGACAAGCAGTACGCGACGATCATCTGTGTCAACAGGGCTACGCATGCCTCAAATGCTGGTGGTCGCGAACGCCAAAGCGCAGCTTTCGAAGAACGCGCCATGGATCAGACGCTAGCGCAGTCAGACAAGCTCACCTTTGTGGATGGCAACATTTGGGATCTGACCATCCAACAATTTCAGGATGCTTTGCAAGGTCATCGCCTGGGCTTGATCGTTCACAACGCTTGGCCGGTGCGATTTGATTTGCCGCTTTCGAGCTTCGAGAAGAGTATCGCGGGTCTTGTAAGCCTGCTTGAATTGGCAGCTATAGAGTCTGCCAAGTTGGTATTTCTCTCATCTGTAGCAGCGGTGAAAGGAACTCTCACCGGCAATCCTGCAGAGACTGTCCGAATCGATGAGTCTACCCAGGTGCCCCTAGAATGGGCACTGGGCGGCTACGGCGTGAGTCAACCCTCCTGCGACGTGCGGCGATCGGGCTCTTTACTTAACGCCACGTCACTCTTTGAGCAGGAGAGCAAGCTCATAGGAGAGAAGCTGGTCTGCCAAGCAGTCCGAACCGTTCCTGGTCTCCACGCAGTGTCGGTCAGGTGCGGCCAATTGATGGGTGACTACCGGACTGGAGTCTGGAACGCCGACGAATGGTGGCCGTCGATTGTCCGCTCGGCCACGCCCGAGGCATTGGGTAGTCTGCCGTCGGGTCCTGAGCTGGGTGATGTGGACTGGATTTCGAGTGAGTTGAGAGTCTTCTTGCGCTCAAGTTCTTCTCTAAGCTAAAGCGCCCATTGCTTGGATCAAAGTGAACGATACCGCAGTCGGAATCTTGAGCTACGCCAGCGCGCCCAGTGCGCATGGCTTCACTTCTGCTAACTCCACCAACGTGGTGCATCTGATCAATCCGAAGTCAGCTCCGGCAAGTCTCATCGAAAAATCTTTCGCGCCGACGCTTCCGGCCGCCAAAGTGCTGCCCTATCGAGAGTGGCTGAAGGGTCTTCAAGCACTTCGTCCCAGCGCTTCGCTGAAGCAGGATGAGCTCATCTCTAAATTGAGCGACATACCTGCCCTCAAGCTCAGCGATACTTACGAGGCGATGGCGAATGCAGACCGCCACGCAACGCTGAAAGTAGGCGAAATGGAAGTGAGTCATGCACGGTCGTGCGGCGCCGTCTGGCGTATTACTGATCCGAGCGCTTCATTCGAATCGAATCGCAGCCTTTCTTGGCCAATGCAGTTGTGCTGGACAAAGCCCTGGCAACGCGATTCGTTGCAAGATGGCTCCACTGAGCTGACTAGTGTAAGCGTCTAGAATGAGCAGCACCAACAGCCTGCTTTGCTCCCTCTGTCTCTTTATCCTTCCGCTTTCGCCACGTCCGACTGTACTTTGCCATGCCTGGGAGATGCAATCGTATGAGCATCATCTTTGCGTTGAAATGAAGAGTCTCTGCCGGGTTTGACAAGCTCGGCTTCTTCGGTCTCGAGCAGAGTGGGTCATGCAGTGACGCAGGCCGCATCTCTATCCGCTCTCTACTGTGCCTCTCGGTGATGTGAGGGCGAAGCATCGAGAGATGGAGTGGTGAATCTGAAAACCCGCACGGTATGCTCGCTGCTCGTTGGAACGCCGAAGATCCTAGGCACCGCAGCGAACGCCTTCGCAGCAGATGGCGAGTGTGAAACGACTGGGACCTTTACGCCCGCGCAGCAACATGCGTGCACCGCGCGCGCGCGTTGGGTGCCTCACATGACGCACGACGCGGCGGGGCTTGTCGCGTTTGGTGCAAAAGTCACGTTTCTTTGCCGCCTGATGCCTACCTTTACCCCTCGCTCGCTTATTGGAGTCAAAGAGTAGTGGCCCACCGACCATCTTCATATCCTTGCTCATTCTTCACGCTTCCCAACTCATATCGTACATCCTGCGCTCGATCTCACAGCTTTTTGCAAGCGCTTGGAACAGGCTTCATCCACCCCACCCCCACCATAAGTCCCTTTTTATCCACAGCCATCATATAAGCAGGAAAGGAGCAGCGGTTCTGACCAGAGGCAAAGGACACACGGGGAGCTTGCGTCTCTCCTCTATATTCGGCTTGTTGTAGCTCGGGCAATGGACCGAAGATGAGTCCTGCTTTGCCAACATCATCAGAAGAGGAACGTCGCGCTGCGGCAGGAGCTCTGGAATCGCGAGCTGACGAGGTGGAGATGAGGTCGTGCGCGCCCACAGTCCAGCTCGTTGTCAAAGAAGAGTCCGACAGCGAAAAACCAAAGAGGTCCAAGTTGCGTTTTCAGACCCCTTCTGCGCACAGCAGTCATGCCAGTGTTGACGACAAGAATGGCTTGCTGCCATCCGACGACGAGAAGGCGCCTGCGTGGGATGAGGATGAGGACTCAGCGAGCGTAGGTTCGAGCGCGAGCGAGAGCAGCTCCAGCGCATCCTCCTCGCGCTCCATGTCCTTTGAGCCCAAGGCAGAGACGTATCAGTCGACAGCATCCTCTTCAGCATCTCCCATCAAAAGTGCCGCATCCTCGGGACCATCCAAGGCACCTAGGCGCCAGCCAAAGGAGCCCGCCAGGCCGCCTCAGCTCATACAACATTTGCCACTGGCAGAGTGGGAAGCCATGCAGACTTTTGATGAGCTGCCGCGCAACTGGTACGAGAGAGCAAAGCTGGGCAGGAGCAAAGGTCAAGAGGAAGGGATGGTTTGCGAGTGTAGATATCGAAGTGGTGAGCAGCGGGTTTGCGCAGCGTTGCGTGCGAGTGGCGCACGTATTCGGGCTGCTGAGCAAATCTTTTCCCTCTGATGTCCTCACCAATTCGCTTGGCGTGCTGCATCAGGCGATGACCCTGCACTTGTTGCCTGCAGCGAGGACTCTGGTTGTATCAATCGCCTGACACAGGTCGAATGTCTGGCTTCAGATTGCCGATGCAAAGAGCACTGTCAGAATCAGCGGTCAGTATACGAGCGCCTGCCTCGCTTGACAAAGTGGCGATCGATGGCTGACGCGCGGCACGCTGCTGTGGGCTTTGTTCCCTCGCAGATTCCAACGAGCGCAATATGCCAACATTGAAATCGTCCAAACCGAAAAGAAGGGCTTTGGCTTGCGCGCAGCCAATGACTTGCCCGCGTACGTCGTGTGTGGAGAGCGGTTGAGTCAGCCCAAAGCTTCTGATGAGCCCCTCACTGATCGCTGCGCCTCTTCGACTTATAGCGACGCGTTTATCTACGAGTATATCGGCGAGGTCGTCGAGCACAAGACTTTCATGAAGCGGATGCAGCAGTACGCCCAAGAAGGTGTCAGGCATTTCTACTTCATGATGCTGCAGCGAGAAGAGGTAAGGAATGCTGCTCCATCTATCAAGCCCCTGCAAGATGGAATGGTCTACTGACACTGACGCCTCCTCTGACAGTACCTCGATGCCACGAAAAAGGGCGGCAAAGCGCGCTTCATAAATCATAGCTGCTCGCCAAACTGTTATGTTGCAAAATGGCACGTTGGCAAGCACATGCGGATGGGCATCTTCGCTCAGCGAAGCATCACAGCTGGCGAAGAATTGACTTTCAACTACAACGTTGATCGATACGGCCATGACGCGCAAGAGTGCTTCTGTGGAGAGCCAAATTGCGTCGGCACGCTTGGAGGAAAGACCCAGACCGATATCGGGGGCATGGACCAGCTGTACATTGATGCTCTTGGCATAGCCGAGGAGGTGGATGCTTTGGAAGCAAAAGGTTCGCGGCGAAAGAAGAGCAGGCATTTGGATGAAGACTTCAACGTGCGTACTACGAGGTATTTGCCCGTCTCTTCTTGTCTTTTGATGCTCACATCTTTGCTTGCCCCTCTCGCAAATGACGACTGTGCAGCCGGTCATGCGGCCCATAGAGGCTCACGAAGTCGCTCGAGTGATCGCAGCAGTTCGACAAGCGCAGTCGGACAAGAGAATCTTGCAGAAGCTACTGGAGCGCATACACATGACGACAGACGTCGCAGTGCAGAAGGCGCTCGTCAGGCTGCATGGTTTCGTTCTGATGGCGGCCATCATGGAGGAGTGGCGGGACGACAGAGCAATTTTGCTTTTGGTAATGGGAAGCATGGCTCGTTGGCCGCTGATTGCGCGCAACAAGGTTGTGGACTCGGGCGTGGACAGCACGGTCCGAGATTTGACGTCCGACCAAGACAAGAACATTACCGAGCTCGCACAAAGTCTATTGGATGCGTGGGAAGCACTGGAGCTGAGCTATCGCATCGCCAGGAGAGAGGTTCCTCTGGACGCAGACGATTCCACGCGTGAAACCCCATCTTGGATGGAACAGCGGCAAGCGGATGAGTCCGAGGAGATTGCGGTAGCCTGGAGCAATGCACGAGCCCCCAACGCAATCTCAACGTCTCTTCATTCTTTATTCCCACGACCCCTCGGTACGCTCGCCGTTGCCGCTCCTGCGATTCATCGTCCTCCTCGAAGGCGAGCATTGCAAGGATCGCCCTTTACCCCTCGAACACCAGAAAATGCATCTCCAGCGCCGGTCAAACCGCAGCAGAAAAGCCTGGAGGAGATTATCAGACAGGCCAATGCGGACGCGGCGCTGCAAACACAACTTTCCGACGATGTCGCTAAAGTCGAGCGTGAGAGAGAAAAGGAAAGGCAACGAGAGCGCAAAGCACGCAAGAGATCTTCCAGAGGCGATAGGGAGCGCAATGGAGAGCACGGAAGTTCTAGCAAGCGACGGAAACACGGATCGGGATCCGCGTCCTCGATGCATCATTCCTCGTCCACTGACACAGAAAAGAAATTGCGAAAGCTGGTCGGCGAAGTCGTTGTCAAGTGCATGAGCAAATACTCTGACAGGCTGGATCGCGACGTCTTCAAGAAACACGCTCGAGACGTAAGTCGGCGCACTTACTGTGTAATTCTCGAGCTGCGCCTGTGCATCGGCTGACCTGCGTGACCTTTTATGTCCCACAGCTCACAGATGTCGTTTGCGCAAAGGAGATGAAGCATACATCCTGGCCGCCTGCAGAGGGCAAGTTGGAGACGCTGACAGCAGAAAAGAAGGCGAAGATGAAGACATTCGCAAACGAGTACATCGGAAAGTTGATCGCTAGGAAGGGCAAGCCAGCGCTCAATGGCGCCTCATCATCGGCCCATGCATATCGCAGCTCGAGCAGGACAGATTCGCCTTCAGAACCACGCGGCGGCCACTCCTCGCGCCAAGGCCGTCCGTCAAATGAGCATGCGGCCTGGGTACCCGATGGCGACAGATCAAGTAGCATCATAGATGAAGCAGACGCCGGATCCCTCGGCTCCCATGGCACAGCGTCGAATACTGGGTCCGGCACAACGTTGGGCACTCCAGCGAGCCCCAAGGCCACGGCTCACTTTGGTTTGCCGCCCGGGCTCAGCGCCATGCTTTCAGTGTCGGGTGCAAATAGCAAAGACTCGCAAGCGGTGGCATCGCCACTTGCTCGGCACAGCGACTCCTTGCCTCCGGGCCCTGCACCATCCATGCCCAACTTCCCGGCGCACCCAGGCCCTCCTCCGCGATTCTAATCGCACTGTGCGCGACCTTCGCGCGACCCGACCTCGCGCATGTCACAGGATGAGGCTCATTACCCACCTTTCCGCTCTACGGTCTGCACTGCCCAGCACTTGAGTCGCTCTGTACACCAATGCAAAGGTATTATTAGGTCGGTTACACACATGTTTTGTCTGAACATCGGTGAAACAGCAGTTCTCGTTCTCGATGATGGGTGATGGGTGATGAGCAGAAGCATTGGTGAGTACTGCAAACCCATGAAGCCAGCAGCGCACCGCAGTCCCTTGAACCATCGCCGTCAGACCAGCTTCGCCGAGCCGTCTCGCTTGCTAAGTCTCTCCAGCTTGCTGTTGACGTCCTGAAGCTCGCGCTGTAGGTGGTAAATTTCCCTCTCGGCAGCTGCATTCCGGTAAGGGGTGGTGCCTTTTTCGCTTTCGGTTTCACGCATCGCGAGGGATATCGATGAGGCCTCAGTTGCCCTTTCAAGCTGCGCAGTGCTGCCGGCTGTCGAGATGCCCGTGCCCGTCGCCCTCTCCGCCAACACCAGCTCTGGACTCTCAGGCCTGACCTCCGAGTGCCTCACTTCGCTGATTTTGATGCCAAGGTAGAAGCAAAGCGGAACCATGATGCCGGAGAGGATCAAGAGTTTCCTGAAAGATCTGTTTACCCTCTTGTTGAAATTCATCTCGGATTCGGATTTGCTTTCCTTGCGCTCCTCTTCTCGTCTAGGACGCGTGTTGTATTCCCTCTTGTTGAAAGCAATGCCAGGCACGTTCAAAATCCGCGCAAGAGCTGGCGCAGTGCTCGTTGACAAGCTCCGTCTACTTCCCGGACCGGCCTTGCTGGACCAAACCTGAGTCCTGAATCTTCTTGGCGCATCATTCGAGGTCCAGCCTAACCTGGATTGCAGGCCGGGTGATGTGCCCTCTTTCAAGCCCTGCCGCACCAGCTTCCAGAGCGCATGGAGCTGGCCTCGAAGGAACAGCGTGGGAGAAGAGGTCCAGAGACGCCGAGTTGCCTTGAGAGCCACGACAAGCCAATGAGGCAGTGAGGGCTGCGCAATGAGGGCTTCCATGAGCGTAGGTGCTGCTGACGTGGGCTGCAATGTGTGAAGGGATTCTCCTAGGTGTGGCGTAGAATGCAACTCTTGCGAGCAATCTCCACGCCCAGCGAGAAGTCCTGCCTGAGCTGCGGAGTGGACACCAACTTGGCCGCGCTTGGCAAGCTCAGCTCGCGCAGCAATGGATCTTTTCAGAATATCCGACCCTTCGCCCGCTTCGATAGACAAGCTGTCATTCCGGGTCCAGCCTGCGCCAGGTTGAACGCCCCTTTTGGCCAAGAAGCTAAGCGCTGCATTCTCTGCTGACCTCATCAATCTCGTGCCTATCCTCTCTCTGGCCCACAGCGTGGTCGTAAGGACTGCCAAAGCATGCGGTGCCGCGTCGAGAGAAGACTCAGGAGCCTGCACTCGCGCTATCGAAGGATCAGATAAGGGATCTGGTGCTTCGTCTGGCTCGGCATCGTTCCTACCTGGGATGACACGGCGAAAGTGGGCCCTCTTGTCTAGCTTCGAGCGCGTTTTGCTCAGCCGTCGGAGAGCGGTGTTGAGACGATGGGCAAGCACCATGTCTGTGGTGGGCCTGTCGCCCAGTACGAGGACGCGCCCGGTCCAGATCGTTCTGACAGACGATGTGGGATCCTGGATGCTAGACGCATTGAGCGCGGCAACGATGTCCCTGACGCACGAGCGGGCCGGTTTCTTGCCCCGATGAGCCAATACGGGGACCTGCAGATGTCTCGACAGACTTTCGGCCTGCAAGGCAGATCGGAGGACGGAAGATGCTCGAGTCAGAATTGATAGGCAGGTGAAGCGACGGTAATTCGTTGGCCAGCCGTAGTAACTCGTCGGCGGCATGTATGCTCACACCTACGCCTCCCGAATCGCTCGAGCTTCCGGCGCTATTTGAGACAATGATGATACGGTCGGGACCAAAGGTGAATCTGCATTCCTGCCAAGCGTGCTGAGATTGAATCATTTGGTTCTGCAGTGTCAACTTGGGCGCTGACGAAGCTTGCCTGAGCAAATGAGTAGTACTCACCCGTAGAGCAGGCGCCAAACCATCCTCCTTTGGCTTAGTCTTCAGGTGAGGGGCCATCGCGGAAAGATACCAAAAGGGTCAACCAAAGCGTAGCAAAGGTTGTGTAGGGATTCCTCGACTCACCAGACAATTGTCCTTGTCGCATATCACTGCTCTCACTCCGGAATTGTACAGGACGTTCCAATCCAAAGCTCTGATGTCGGCGATGGTCGCGTGGGGCACCAGGAGGCC